TTGTGTTCGGTCTATCCAACTATAAAGTACTTGGCAGTACTTTGGATGGACGATGCTACCTGAATTGAGGATAGCACTGAGACAATACTCAGTTAAAGGCAAGCACTTCTCCCTCTCTTCTTAGTACTTCAGCCCCTCCTTTGGACTATGATGAATATGGGACAACCCTAGTCTAAGAGGATGTCTTTTTCTTTTTTTTTTCTCTTTTTTTTGGAGAGTGGTGGTGGCAGCAATCAGGGTTAAGTGACTTGTCCAAGGTCACACAGCTAGTGAGTGTCTGAGGTGGAATTTGAACTCAGGTCCTCCTGACTTCAGGGCTAGGGCTCTATCCACTGTGACACCTAGCTGCTCCTGTCTTTTCATAATAGCGGGTCTGAAAATCTTTCAGACAAATCAGAAGCAATGAAGGTTGCCCTCGATGGATTCAGTCAAGAGATGGATTTTATCTGTGTGACCTTGTCAAGTCACAACCTCTCAGGGACTCAGTATCTTCATCTGCAAAACATAAAAAGGTGGGGTTTGGACTGGATTGTACAATGTACATCGTACAGTGGCTACTCATGGGCCTGATACTGATCAAGGTTTGACCTGCTCGGTTCTTACCACCTTCCCCCTGGAGGGGAAGAAAGGGATCTCACTTCAGGCATGCCTCCATGCAGCTGGAGCTAAAGTTAACCCTTGTGGGTCTCTGGCTCATGCTGGAAGTGTCCTGGGGCCCCACCCGGGGAGCTCCTGGGGTGGGCAGGAGCCAGAGCTAAAATTCCTTCTAAATATGTCTGTGATTTTATGATCTTTGAATAGGGTGACTGCAGGTCCTCTAGAATAAAGGTGTTACTCACAGTCTCTTGGGCTCCTGGATCAAAACTATCTTTGGCTTTAATCCAGAGTTGCCAGTTCAGCAGCTTGCGCTACGACTGGAACAGATTTGGAGCCTTTAAAATTCCAAAGCCCGGAGACTTTAAGTGACTTGCTTAATGTCTCATAGGTACTTAATAGCAGTACTGGAACAGGAACCTAGGTTTCCTGGCTCTAGGTCCAGGCTCCTCCCATTATGCCATGGTGCTTCCTACTGGATGTTTAACAGTTCAGCTCAGTCTTCTGAGAGCCTGAGGCAAAGAGAAATTGCTTTCCTGTGCCTTTTGAAGGTCATTCCCTTCATGTCAAATCCAATGTCAACTTTCGGCCCCAAATTAGGCAGTTAGTGGTGCATGGGCTAGAGCATTGGACTTGGAGCCAGGAAAACTTAAGTTCAAATGTAGCCTCAGACACTTAACTAGCTGTGTGACCTTGGGCAAGTCACTTAACCTCTGTTTACCTCAGCTTCCTCAACTATAAAATGATAATAATAGCACCTACTTCCCAGAGTTGTGATAAGGATCGTATGAGATAATAATGGTAAAAAGTGCTTAGCACAGTGTTTGGCACATTGTAGATGGGAAATAATTCCCTATTCCCTCTCTCCTCAAATGCCTTAAGGACAGTTTGGCCCTAAGAGGTTTGGGAGAAGGGCATAAAATAGTATAATCTGGTTTAAAATTGGGGAATTCTGCCATTGCTTTTCACAGAAATTGTCTGAATGGAGAGGATAGTGGGATCTCTTTGCAGATCAGAATCAACCAATCCACAAGTATTTATTAAGCACTTATATTATTTACCAGGCATTGTGCTAATGGCTGGGGAGACAGAAAATCAAAAACAGTCTTTTACCTCAGGGAGTTCGTCCTTCTCTTGGGAGAGACGATGTGTATAGAAAGTCACATATAAGACACAAACAAAGTAGATGGAAAATAACTTTAGAGGGGGGAAAACAAAATTGCAGGAGGGAGGGGGTGCAGGGGACAGGGAGGAGAAGGACCAGAAAAGTCCTTCTGTTGAAGGTGGCATTTGAGCTGTCTTTTTTTTTTTTTTTTTGAAGACTGGATCTTTCCATTTTTTCCATGCTGGAAGTACAGTGGCTACTCATGGTCCTGATACTAATAATTTTAAGAAGTTTGACCTGCTCACTTCTTACCACCTTCCCCCATGGAGGGGAAGGAAGAGATCTCACTTCAGGCATGCCTCCATGCAGCTGGAGCCAAAGTTAACCCTTGTGGGTCCCTGGCTCATGCTGGAAATGTCCTGGGGCCCCACCTGGGGAGCTCCTCGGGAGGGCAGGAACCAGAGCTGCCTCCAGGGGTGGCTGTCCTTTCTGGCCCAAGTGAATTTTTCTTCTTCTTCTTCAGTTCCCTTCATATTGCTGCAGGTTTTTTATTTGTTTGTTTAGTCATTTTCCAGTTGTGTCTGAATCTTCATGAGCCCTTTTGGGGTTTTCTTGACAAAGATACTAGAGTGGTTTGCCATATCCTCCTCCAGCTCATTTTTGCAGATGAGGAAATTGAGATAAATGGAGTTAAGTGACTTGCCCAGGGTCACACAAGTAGTGTCTGAAGCAGGATTTGAACTCAGGTCTTCCTGACTCCATCCACTGTGCCACCTAGCTACTCTAGTAATGCAGAATTTAGTGCTAACCAACTGCGTGCCTCTCAGAACTCTGGAGGTGAAGAGATGGGCTAGCCTCAGCCTCCCTGGTTGCAGAGACTATAGGCTACCACATCAGATTTTTGAACTTAGTCTAAGGAAGTCAGGCAGAGGTGAAGAGAGAACATCCCAAAGCATGGAGGACAGCCAGAACAAATGTAGTGAGTTGGGGTAAAACACAAGAAAGAGTACATAGGATGCTATTGCTGGGCCATAAGGTCTATAGAGGGGAGGGAAGGATAAGAAGACTGGAAAGGATGGAAGGGGCTAGGTATGCCCAACAGAGGACTTGATGCATGACCGAGGAGGTAATAGGGAGACAAGGGAAGTTTTTGAAGGGAAGCGATGGTCCTGGTGGTGGTGACACAATCAAACCTACACTTTAGGAAAATCATTTTGGTGGTTGTGTGAAGGACGGATTGGAGTGAGGAGCAACTTGAAGTGGTAGGCCAATTAGAAGGCTATTAAAATGGTCTAGGCAGGAGATAATGAAGTCTGAATTGAATAGTGGTTTGGTGTGTGGAGGCAAGGGGACATATAGAAGAGATGTTATGAAGACAGAAAGTCAAGATTTGACAACCGATTGGATTGGATATATGGGGCAAATGAGAGGGAGGAATCCAGGATGACAGTGAGGTTGTGATTCTGGGTGACTCCTTGTACAGAAGATGGGTAGGTTTGGGGGAAAAGATAATGAGTTATGTTTTGGACATGTCGAGTTTTAAGATGCCTCTGGGACAGCCAGACTGAAATGTCCACGAGGGAGTTGGTGACTTTGGACTGGAGCTTAGCAGAAGGATTAGAGCTAGATATAGAGATCTGAGAATCATCTACATATTGAGGATAATTAAACTCATGGGGGCCAATGAGATCATCAAGTGAGATAGAATAGAGAAAAGAGAAGAGCACTCCAGATTGAGCCTTGAAGCAAAAACTGGCAACTAATTAGGTGGCATAGTGGATTCAAAGGACCTTAGTTCAACCCTGTGCAAGTCACTTAACATCTCAGACTCAGTTTCACCAGCAGTTAAATGGGGATAATAATAGTGTCTAAGACACACAGTTGTGAAGATCAAAAAAGATGAGGCATGTGAAGTACTTTGCAAATCTTAAAGAACTATATAAATGTTAATTATTGTTGTTGTTCTTATTATCATTATAAGAAGCAGTATGACACTTAGGAGAACCAAGTGAGTGCAACATCAGGAAATCCCAGAGAGGAGGGGGAAGTTAACAGTGACAAAAGCTGCTAAAAGGTCAAAAAGGATGAGGATTAAGAAAAGGCCATTAGACTAGGCAATTAAGAGAGAGCATCTTTTACTTCCTTTCACATCCCACGTGGAAATGGAAGTGAGATGAACCCTGTTAATGATTTTTCAGCTGTAGGGCTCTTGGACTGCTGGACACACTTTCCTTTACCCCAGGGCCACATTCTAAGAACTAGCTGCAAAGTCAGCAGGTGGAGCTGGATTGCTGTGCCTGAGACCCCGGCCTTGAAAAAAAAAATCCCTAAAACATTAAGCAACAATTATGAGGGGGAAAAACTTGAGTGATACAGTGATATAGGTGTTTTTTTTTTTTTTTAAATTAAATATGAACCAGCACCTTTTGTAGAAGTGTTTTATTGCACCTGAGGACAGAGAGGGGAAAGGTTGTGTCCTCGTGCTTGGGATCCAGGAAAACGCACAGGGATCTTACTTCAGGGGTGCCTCCAAAGTTGGCCCCTGAGCTCCAGAACCCTGGCGCGTTCTGGAAGTGCCCCGGGGCACCACCGGGGGGAGCAGCTTCCAGGAGTGTCTCTCCCTTCTGACCCGAGTGGGTTTTTCTGCGGGCGGATGCATTAGGGGCTGGTGGGCGCTAGAGGGTGCTCCACGCCCCCACCCCACCCCCAACCCTCCCTTAACTGGGGAGGACTCTCCGGTCTGGCGGGGGCTGAGGGTGGGGTGGGTAATGACAATTAAAATAGCGCAGTCCAAAACTGGTCCGGCGGGCGGCGGTAGCGCCCCCTCTCCCTGCTTCCGAACCCCTCTCCCCGGGGGTCACTCTGTCCCTTCCCCCCTCCCGCCCTCTCCTCCGCCCTCCTCCCCCTCCTGGGGAGTCAGGCACTAGCTGCGATTGCTCCCTCTCTGCAGCTCGCGTCAGTTTCCCTCTCCCGCGGCGGGAGCAGCAGCGGCGGCGGCGGCGGCGGCAGCAGCGGCTGAGTAGGCAGAGGCGGCGGGAGAGACGTCTACAGCAGCTGCAGCCCCGGCTCCCCGGGCTCCCAGGGCTCCCCGGGCTCCCCGGCTCCGAGCGCGCAGCCCTCCCGCCCGGGTCCCCTCCGCGTCCCCTGCGCGTGTCCTGGAGCGCCCCGGGCTGAGCGGCAGCGCAGCGCGCCCCGACTCCCCCTGGCCGCGAGTGGAGGCCCCCTGCCGAAGCCGCTCCCCGCCGGGCTGCGGACCCCGGCCGCCCGCGGGCATCCTCCGGCGGGGAAGTGGGGCGGGACCATGAGGAGGCTGAACCGCCGCCTGGCGCTCACTCTCTTCGGGGTACTCTGGATCGCGGCACTGCTGCTGCTATGGGGAGTCCAGAGGAAGTTGGAGGTGGCGCCGGGACCCGAAGGGCAGACCCCCAAGGTAGGCAGCTGGAGAGGTCGGGAAGGAGGGAGCAGTGGGCGCGCAGCTGAGCCGGTAGCCGTGGGCAGCGGGCACTAGTTGGGTGGCCTTGGTTTGCGAGCTTTGGCGGACTGAGCTGGCCATCAAAGTTGCTGGACGCGGCTGCAACTGTGAGATGTTTTCGGATTTTAAATAGCTCAAGGGAATCTTTTGACGTGTGTGTGTGTGTGTGTGTGTGTGTGTGTGTGTGTGTGTGTGTGTGCAGTCATCCGTGCATGTGTTACGTGGACCCGGGCGCCGTGGCAAAGTGTGGTCACAACTTCTGCAGTCGCTCATCTCCCGGGCACTGCCGGACCTGCTCCCTGACCTGGCGCTGGGGATTGAGAAGAAGGGGTGAGCGGGCAGCCAGGGGAAGCCGGTCCCGAGACCTGTGTGGTGCTGCTACGTCTTGACTAATTGGGTCGCTTATTAACCTCAGATTCAGTCTTCACTGGCAGTTAACCTGCCCGGATGAGGAGGCTTTGGGATGATCTACCATCCTGCCAAACAACTCTTAGAATCAGTGCTTGGAAGGTGACCGAATTGGGGGGCTGAGGAGGGGGGTGGAGGCAACCCCTACTGTGATTGAGGCTCTCCTCTCCTTTTCCTCTGCTTTGTCACTCCCTTCCTAAAATCTGCTTCAGGACCCCTGCAGCTGCAGGACTCGAAAGTGGAATATGCATGCCTGCTCTGTACTCCACAAAATACCAACTGCAAATAGAGATAGGCTTGTCTTGTTAGGGAGTTGGGAAAATCTCAATGCAGGTGGCTCTTACGCCTCAAGTCCCTTCAGTTCACCTGACGCGAGCCAGGTCACCCCACTTCCCGCGTCTCCCCTCCAGTCTATAGAATCCCTGTCCAGCTTTCTCCCAGTCACTTTTGTCACTTCTCAGAAGGGGCTGGAGGGTAAGGATGAGTTTTTTTAGGCAGTGAATATTCAGGCCAGCCAGCCAACATTAAAGAGTAACCTAATGGGTACTTTGGGGGAGAAAACCAACAGCTCTGTGTGTGTGTGTGTGTGTGTGTGTGTGTGTGTGTGTATGTGTAGTTCCCATTCCATTCTGATGGAACTTTCAATCTAATAAGGCAGACAGGAGAAACACAAGGAGAAAAGATCTGAGCCTAGGGAGCTGACAACAGCTACCTCTCGATTCCAAAATCCAGCCTCAGCTCCATCCCTCTCCACCCTTCTCCACGGGATAATTTTTGATCACTTAGATGCTGTTGCTACGCATAGATCAGTAGAGTTTTTCTCCTTTTCCCCAGGTTGTTCTCCTGCTCCTTGTAATGTAGCTAATAATGCCTGCAGGGACCTGAACTTTCTCTGGTTTGCTTTGTACCTCATTACCTTAAGCTTGCAAGTAATGAGCCCCCCCCCCCTTATTTTTCTTGTTTTACAACTCATGGTCTCTTCTCTGTCTCTCTGTCTCTCTCTGTGTCTCTGTCTCTCCCCTTTCCTCTCCCCCTCCTTCCCTCCCTACTTTTCTCTTCTCTTCTCCTCCTTTCCTCCTCCCCTCTCTCTCTCCCTCCCGCTCCCCTCTCTTCCTCTCTTCTCTCCTCCTCCTTTCCCTCTCCTCCTCCTTTCCCTCTCCTCCTCTTCTCTCTCTCTTCCTCTGCTCTCCTCTTCTCTCCTCCCCTCCCTCCCCTCTTCTCTTTTCCTCTTTTCTCTCTCCTCCTCCTCCTCCTCTCCCCTTTCCCTTTAAAATTTATTTTGACCATCCCCATGTTTTCCTGTCCTTTCTTCCTTTTTACTGTTCTTTCTTTTCCTTATGCTTCATTATTTTCTCCATCTTTCCTTTTTGTCCCACATCACTTCCCAACTGGAGGGATTTTTCTCCTCCCTTCTCATGTCTGCTTTATCCTGCTTTTCTGGCTACCCATTTTGATATTCTCCTACAGTGTTCCTGTCATTTTACAGTTTTTCCCACGTCTTATTAAATTCCCTCCTTTTGGGTTTCTCATCCCCCTCCCCTCCCCTCCCTTTTCTTTCTTATGTGTGAATGACTGTGACCTTGGACAAATCACTTCATTCCTCAAGGCCTGCTTACCTTATCTCTTAAATAAGGAGGCTGGACTAAATGATCTCTGAGCTCTTTTCCAGCTCTTAAGACTCTATGGCTGTGTCCTGTGAATCTTTGGGAGTGTTTGTGTCTGAGAGGTGATGGTGCGTGTTTGTGCATATGTGTGTGAATGTGGCACTTTTGATGGGACTAGAGCAGTTGAATTCACTGGTCTGTACACTTAGGCCCACTGTACAGTGGGGGCCCCAAAATGCCAGCTGTGTATCTCTCGTGATATTAAGGTGATACCTTGTTAATCAGAACATTTTGATTCCAGTCCACTTGTTTGTCCTTTTCCAACCCCTGCCTGGAGAGAAGGGGATGGGGGTATGCAGCTGTTTATAATGAAGAGAAGCTATAGGAAAGTGTTTAAGGCTCTGGACTTTCCTAACATTAAATGCCTGGCCTGGTTGCTCTCTGACCCTGATCGAAGCTTGATTTCCTCCTTTGAGAGACGAATTTCACTGCAGGGATTCGGTCCCACCTTCCTCTGAGCTCATTCCCAAAATTTTCCTGGCCTGGTTCTGGTCTCTCTTTCAGCCAGCTGTTTTCAGTAACAGGCAGTGGATTGGCACCACACTACCCTGTGACTTAGCGAAAATCAGTTTCCCTCTCTCCACTTCAGTTTTCTCATTTGTAAAATAGGGGTGGGGGGATTTGGACTTTGAAGTTAAAACTTCTCTGAATCTGTGAGCTGTTGGTAGGTGAGAGAACTATGGGGGGGGGAGCTTGATGGAAGAAAGAGAGTTATCCTCCAAACTGTGTCAGGGAAGCCAAGAGAGGCCTTCCCTCTAAGGAGAGAAACTGCCTTAAAGGAAAGAGAAGACTGATTATCTGTGCTCCTTGGGAGAGAGACAGTTGAAGCTGTCAGGGACTATTAGGGTGCAGGTAGTAGGTTGTGTGGTTAAGTGGTTAAGGTTGCCTGATGGGATAAGGACGAATTGAAAAGTGTAGGAGAAATCCTATAGGTGCATTAATCATTGGCTTAGGAATGGGTTCTGATTGTCAGCTTGGAGATTGTTTCCTGACCAATGTCAGTCTTGTGTGCCTCAGATGGGAAAATTTGTTTATTAGAGAAAAATAGTATAGATTTTTGAATGAATTCAGGACTCCAGGCTTTCATGCTGAGTGCTTATTCATAATTGAGAGGGAAAGTCTTACTTTGCACATGTAAAACCTGAGGAGATTTCTGTTTCTCAATACTTCCATCCCCCTCCCCTCCATTGGATTCTGTTTATTTGTCAGAACAGAATGTGGACAGCCCCTCATTACTGGAATCCACAGAAGCATCTGAGAACTTCGGAAGGGGCCTTTAAAAATCATGTTGTCTCTCATGTGACCGCTGATGAAACTGAGGCCTTTGGGGGTGTGTGTGAAATAATTTACACAAAAGACCATGCAGCTTAAATGAGAGGTATAGTATGGAAAGACCCCTAAGGTTGGGAGTCAGAGGACAGGACTTTGAACCTTGTCTCTGGCACTTAACTTGCCTGTGTGACCTTGGGTCAGTCATTGTATATCTTTCTAGAGCAAAGGGGTTAGATCATACAGCCTCTAAGGTCTCCTTCCATCTCTAGGTCTGTAATTTTTGTGATAATGAGGCTTTATGCACTGGCTGGGAGGTTGGACTGGTCAGTCTCCAAATCTAAGCCTTTCCCCTCTATGGTTCTGAGTAGCTTTAAGCTGCTTTTCACTATTCCAGGAGGCCCAGGCTCTTTTCTTTGAAGGTGTTATGGGCCTGCTCTATTCACCCAACCTTTGGGAAGAAAAAGGGGAACCCGAGTATAAATAAAACCTCTCCTCATTCATAATCCAAGTGATGTATAGAAGATAAACAGCCTTTGTGATTAAAAAAAAAAGGTTATTGGGTATGTTTAATGTGCTATAAAAAAGGCCAGGAAAAGGTTTTTAAAGTATGCTTTTGTTCTGAATTGGTGTTTTGGTGTTTGTTTTTCCTCCTCTCCAACTCAACAAATCTCAGATTTCTAATTGAGGAGGGAGCATAATAGAGTTTGAGATGTTTTTGTAAACTGTATCATAATGATGAGCAAGCACTGTAAGACCAAAAAAAGAATCAGAGAATGTTTTTCTACTGCTTCCCTACTTCCCCTATTGTGTATCATTTGTTTTCAATTTGGGTAACTTAAAAAACATGAATTAAAAAAAAATTTTTTTTCAATAAACTAAATTTACTTTGAGACTCAGTAAAAGTAAAAAGAATTTTAGCCTTGAGGGTAATTGAATTTTTTTTGAGGAAGCCAATGGGAATTTAAAGGCTTGGGCTAAAATGCTGCAGGCCCTTGGAAACATACTTAGATTTTACGAAAATATGTAGCCAATAGTATTATAAAAATTCTCTCTATCTGTGCAGCACTTATATAGCACTATTATTAAATCCTTGCATTTAGTAAGATAACTTTTCTTTCGATAATCCACACCCTCTCATTCTCTAATTATCCCTGTTTTGTTGGTAAACTGAGCCTCAGAGAGCTCAAGCTAGCCAGCCTGGTACAGTAGTAGTTCTGTAGTAGCAACACCTAACCACTCTCTGTAATGTAAACTTCTTCCCCTCATTCCTCTGTCTCTGGTGTGGGAGGCAGTGCCTTGCAAAGATATGGAAATGGGAAACATTTTGTTTGTCTGAAATATGAAGACGATATCAGGGAAAGGAATGCCCTGTGTGCCTCAAAAGGTAGGCTGGACATGCTGGGCTTTAAATGCCACACTGGAGAGTTTGTGTTTTGCCCTAGAGATAATAGAGAGCCATTGAAGCTTTTTGAGTGAGGGAGTGAGCCGATCAGCCCGGTACTTTAGGAATATCAGTTTGGAGGCTGCATGGAGGATAGATTGGACGGACAGAAGAGAGAATGTGGACAGATGTACCAATTCAGAGGCTGTGTGTTACATAAGGGCTGGAAGTCT